CATGCTCTTGGATAGGTAGGATCAACATAGTAAAAAAATGGCAATCTTGTCAAAAGCAATCTACAGATTCAATGTGATCCCCATCAAAATCCCTGCACAATTGTTCACAGACCTTGAAAGAACAATACTCAACTTTATATGGAAAAACAAAAGACCCAGGATAGCCAAAACAACCCTGTACCATAGAGGAACTTCCAAGGGATCACCATCCCTACTTCAAGCTCTATTACAGAGCTATAGTCCTGAAAGCAGCTTGGTACTGGAACAAAAATAGACAGGTAGACCAATGGAATTGAATTAAAAACCCTGATACTAACCCACATTTCTACAAACACCTGATTTTTGACAAAGAAGCTTAAGATATGCAATGGAATAAAGGAAGCATCTTCAACAAATGGTGCTGGCATAACTGAATGCTGGCATGTAGAAGACTGCAGATAGATCCATGTCTATGGCCGTGCACAAAACTTAAGACCCAAATGTATTAAAGACCTCAACATAAATCCACCCACACTGAACCTATTAGAAGAGAAAGTGGGAAAGTACCCCTCAATTAACTGGTACAGGAGACAGCTTCCTGAATATTACACCTGTAGCACAGACACTGAGATCAACAATTAATAAATGGGACCTCCTGAAACTTGAGAAACTTCTGTAAGGTAAAGGACACAGTCAACAAGACAAAACAGCAGCCCACCCATTGGGAAAAGATATTCACCAACCCTATATCTGACAGAGGGCCAATCTCCATAATTTACAAAAAAACTCAAGAAGCTAGTTTCCAAAACAACTAATAATCCAATTAAAAAGTGGGGCACAGAACTAAACAGGGAATTCTAAACAGAGGAATCTAAAATGGCTGAAAGATACATAAGAAAATGCTCAACATCCTTAGCCATCAGGGAAATACAAATCAAAACGACTCTGAGATATCATCTTACTCCAGTCAGAATGTCTAAAATCAAAAACACCAATGATAACTTATGCTGGAGAGGATGCAGAGAAAGGGGAACACTCCTTCACTGCTGGTTGGAGTGCAAACTTGTCAGACATTTTGGAAATCAGTATAGCAGTTTCTCAGAAAAAATGGAAATCAGTCGACCTCAAGATCCAGCAATTCTACTCTTAGACATATACCCAAAAGAAGCACATTCATTCAACAAAGACATCTGTTCAACTATGTTCATAGCAGCATTATTTGTAATAGCCAGAACCTGGAAGCAACCTAGATGCCCCTCAACTGAAGAATGGATAGAGAAAATGTGGTACATTTACACAATGGAGTACTACTCAGCGGGAAAAAAAATGGAATATTGAAATTCGAAGGCAAATTGATGGAACTAGAATAAACCATTCTGAGCGAGGTAACCCAGTCACAAAAAGACAAACATGGTATGCACTCACTCATATGTGGATTTTACACATAGAGCAAAGGAGTACCAGCCTATAATCCACACAACCAAAGAAACTAGGCAACAAGGAGGACTCTAAAAGAGACATACATACATGGTTCCCAGGAGAAGGGGAAAGGGACAAGATTTCCTGAGCAAATTGGGAGCATGGGGGAGGGGAGAGGGAGATAGGAGAATGAGAAAAGGAGAAGAGGAGGGGTGAGGGGGACATAAGGGAGCAGAAAGGTTGTGTGGGGGAGAGAATAGAGGAGAGCAGAATAAGAGATACAATCAAAGAGGGAGCCAGTATAGGTTTAAAGCAAAATCAGGCACTAGGGAAATGTCCAGAGATCTACAAGGATGACACCAACTAACCATCTAAGCAACAGTGGAGAGGGTACCTTAAATGCACTCCCCTGATAACGAGATTGATGACTAACTTATATGTCATCCTAGAGCCTTCATCCAGCAGCTGATGGAAGTAGAAGCAGATACCCACAGCTAAAAACTGAACTGAACTGGAATCCAGTTGCAGAGAAGGAGGAGTGATGAGCAAAGGGGTCAAGACAATGCTGTTGAAACCCACAGAAACAGCTGACTTGAACAAGAGGGAGCTCTTGGCCCCCAGACTGATCACTGGGAAACCAGCATGGAACTGATCCAGACCCCATATATGTGGGTGACAGTGAGGAGGCCTTGGAAATATATGGGGCCTCTTGTAGTACTTATATCAGTACTTATCCCTAGCGTAGGAATGGAGTTTGGGATCCCATTTCACATAGAGGGATACTCCTTCAGCCTAGACACATGGGGGAGGGCCTAGGCCCTATCCCAAAGTATATGACAGACTCTGAAGACACCCCCATGGAAGGCCTCACTCTCCCTTGGGAGCAGAAATGGTATGGGATAGGTAGGATGTTAGTGGAGGGGCAGGGGAGAAGGGGAGGGAGAGGGAACTAGGATTCACAGGTAAAACAATCTTGTTTCTAATTTAAATTAAAAATTTTAAAAAATAGAAGATTGAGTATCTTCTGCAGACTATATTTAAATCACAGATGTTCTCAGTATGATGGCTCCACAATATCAAATCCATCGTGATGAGGTATTGGTTGAATTTCACCAATTCTGTCCTGTAGAGAGGGAAGATATAAATTAATATTTTACTGTAAAAAAAGAAAATGTGGTACATTTACACAATTGAGTTCTACTCAGCAGGGGAAAAAAAATGACATCTTGAAATTTGCAGACAAATGGATTGAACTAGAAGAAACCATCCTGAGTGAAGTAACCCAGACACAGAAAAAAAAAACATGGAATGTACTCACTCATAAGTGGATATTATACATAAAGCAAAGGATAACCAGCCTATAATCCACAACCACAGAGAAGCTAGGAAACAAGGAGGACCCTAAGAGAGAAATACATGGGCCTCCCAAGAAGGGGAAAGGGACAAGATGTCCTGAATAAATTGGGAGCTTGGTGGGAGGGAGGTAGGAGAAAGAGGAGGGGAGAAGAGGAGGGGGGAGTAGAACATGAGGGATCAGGAAGATTGATTTGGGGGAAGAACAGAGGAGGAGAGCAAGGAAAGAGATACCTCAGTAGAGGGAGCCGTTATTGGCTTAAGGAGAAAACTGGCACTAGGAAAATCTCCAGGGATCCACAAAGATGACCCCAACTAAGACTCTACACAATAGTGGAGGGGGCTACCTTAAATGTGCTTCCCCTATAGTGAGATTGATGTCTACCTTAAATGCCATCCTAGAGCCTTCATCCAGTAGTTGATGGAAGCAGCGAGATTCACAGCTAAGCACTGAGCCAAACTCCTGGAATCCAGTTGTAGAGAGGGAGGAGTGATGAGCAAAGGGGTCAAGGCCATGCTGGTGAAACCCACAGAAACAGCGGACCTGAGCAAGTGGAAGCTCACAGACTCCAGACTGACATGGGTGTCAGTTGTGGGGCCTGGGCAGTCTATGGGACTACTGGCAATGGAACCAGTGTTTATCCCTTGTGCATGAACTAGCTTTGGGAGCCTATTACCTATGGAGGGAAACTCTTTCAGCCTAGATACAAGGGGAAGGGCCTAGGTCCAGCCCCAAATGATGTGATAGACTTTGATGATCCCCATTGGGAGGCTTCACCTTCCCTGTGGAGTGGATTGGGGAGGAGTTGATAGGAGATGGGAGAACAGGAGGGAGAAGGAACTGGGATTGGTACGGAAATAAGATTGTTTTTAATTTAAATAAAAATTAATTTAAAAGAAAAAGTAATAATCGTTTTCCTTCATGTATCATCTAGTCTTCTTCACAAGCCCGATAAGCACACATCACAGCTTAGGTCGACAGTTTATAGCTCCCACTGCCTGTTTTGTACAGACTGTGAGCTAAAGGTGGGCCATTTTTTTAGTGGCTAAAAAGGACAAAAGAAAAGACTATTGTGTGACACCTGAAAGTTGTATGGATTCAAATTTCAGTGTCCACATTAGCAACTCTGCTGTTTTGAACACTGAGCTGCAACCCTGCTGTTGTAAACACCAGTTGCTCTGTTTCTTCCAGTTCTACTTAGACAGACACCATTACAGCGAGAGACATGGGGCAGCCCATAGAACCAGTAACACTCATGCCTTGACCCTTAATGAAATAGAAAATCCGTCTTACTTAGGGTTTCTGTTGCTGTGAAGAGACACCATGACCATGGCAGCTCTTGTAAAGGAAAACATTTGTGTGGGTTAGCTTATAGTTTCAGAGGTTCAGTTAATTATCATCATGGTGGAGAGCATGATGCTATGCAGGCAGACATGGTTCTGGAGAAGGAGCCGGGAGTCCTACATTTACAGGCAACAGGAAATGGTCTATGACACTGAGTGGTAGGTAGCTTGAGCATATATGAGACCTCATATATGCTGACTGACTCCACAGTGACACACTTCCTCCAACAAGACCATACCTATTCCATAAGGCCACACCTCCTCATGGTGCTCCCTTTGGGGTTATGGGGGTCAGTGACATTCAAACTACCACAATCAAACAACTTCTAGCTCCTGTGTGGAGTGCCATGATGAGGGAGAAACAGAAGGCAGGGCCCTTCTCCAAGAGTCATGTTCTTTCTGTAGTTTTTAAGAGATAATGACCTTTTCAAACCATTTTAATGAATTTGATGAAACACCTTAGAGAAAACAGGATAGATGCAAAGATTGAGCCTGTGTATAAAAGTAGTCAGAATGCTAGCTTTTTAATGTTCCCATTCTCCCAGTCAACCAAAACCTAAGGCTGTCAGCATCTCCCCTGCCACCCACCAGCAGCTGGTTCCATCCCATGTTGTTAGGACCCAGCTAATCCTCCATGAAACTGCATCTGCTGATAATCTTCAGACAATTTCTCTAGTTTGAGGAGAGCCCCAAGCATCTATGACCCTTTCCCTGAGGCTAATCTGAAATCTAAAATCTTTGTCAAGAATGTGTTTTAAGAGAAATACATGAATAATTTTGAGGTAAAAAAAATAGTGGCATGTCTAGAGCTCACATGCAGTTGTTAATGGGGCTTCACTGTGACAGACCTCATTCAGGCCGATCATTTTTCAGGGAAAAAAAAATACTGACAGGTTCTTCTTGTATCACATTCTCTTTCATTTTATTTTGCTTTTCAGTGCAAATTATAACCACTTATGGTGCTTTAATATTTAACCAAACAGAAAATACATAATTGAAAGATAATTATGCTATCTTATTAGAGTTTGGACATGGTTTGTGCTAATATTAAAGATTTAACTAAAGAGAATCCAATAATGCCAGTTGGGAGCCCAGGCTTTTATTAATTTTGTTTTCATTAGGTGAATGTTTTATTTATTCCCCATGGTTTCTTCTTTATTCCATATTCAAAACTATTCTCTCAGACAAGGTTGAGAATCACAGATCATCAGTAATACCACCCATGCATATAGTCCTTCCACACCAATTTCATAAGCAATGCTGTCGCTAATGACTTGTGACGCATGTAGCTTATGCAAGCTAAATGTGTGGCCCCTCAGTTCAGCAGCAATGCCAGACCTCCCAAGGCAAATTATCAAATAACTCTAAAGAGCCAAAGCCCTCATCCCCAAGGCATCTTTGGAAGTTCTCTAGTTACTGTAGACAGTGGGGTAGTCAGGTAGGAATCAGGGTATGAAGAGACAGGTTAACAATCAGGAAACTGAAAACAAGCACTCTTAGAGAACTTGACAAGGTATTCGCCTGTGGACTTTTACTTCACTTAAAATACATAAATGATTGATAGGAAAATACTTTTTTTTTAATTCCAAGGCTCGAGTTGGCTTTGAAGGTAGCTTTATTTTCTCTTTACTTGCAGCTTCACTTTTCCAGTGAACCTAGGGCCCCGCCTGCGCATGTGCAAGCTTATCAAATCTTCAATCAACTCTTTCTTCTTTAAGAAAGGGCTTCTTAGGGGCTGAGAATATGCACCTGAAAGTAGAGAAAAGGAACTTCATAAGGACTCTAAATTACACCTAGGTTAGTTGTTATTAAAAGAAAGAATTGGTGGTCTTGCTACTCAAACTTCACAATTCTATATATAGTTAGAACATGAATGTAAATTCGTATTTACCGTGTTTTCTGTCCTGTGGATTTTACTTATATAGCCTAAGTTAAATAAATTACTATCATTTATAATATTTGTCAATTAAAAAAGTATGTGATTTTTAAAGTTTAAAGAATCATTATACCACGTTTAATATAGAAACAAACATTTCAAACCTTCAATAACACAACCTTCCAGAGATGTTATCTTCATTCTATGCTTACTTTGTGATTTGTTTAACTATTACCCTATTGTAGACATTTGGATTATCTCCATGTTTTTTGATAAAGAATATTGGAATGAAGAGTTTTGTCCCACACCATTGGTTGCACCTGGAGATACTTCCTGACAATCAAGCTATGGATGGGTGCTTGCTGGGGATGTGGCTGAGGAAACTTCCTGGAGTAAAGCAGAGAACTGAACATTTATGGATCTGTTCATGTCACTGAAGCAGAGTTTTCTGTGTTTAGTGTTTAAAAATAAGAACTATGAACATTTGTTAGACACCTATCACAAACATCATCAGAATATAAATCTAAATTTTAACTTTTCTCATCACAACCCCACCCTGAAGAAAGTCACAATTGTTCCAGAATATATAAACTGTCAGTCCCAGAGATACAGATTATTGCCCACCCCCATCTTTCTTAGGGCCAAAGCCAAATCTGCTGAAGGAAGAGGGTATCATTTTTATACAGATACTATTGTGCCTCAAAATCTTTTTATTTCCAGAGAAAATTTCATATCCTTATGAGTGAGCCTGAAGTCTGCTATTTCAACTTTGGCAATTATCAGTGTACTATGTACTCTTGCTCCTGCTCTCCCCCTCTCTCTTGCTCTCCCTCTTCCTCTCCCCCTCCCTCTCATGCCCTCCCTCTTCTTTCTGGATCCCCCACTCTCTCTTCCTGTCTCCTCTCCCTTTTTCCCTTCTCTTTCCCCTCTTCCCCTCACTTTCCATCTCTTCTCTTCCTCTTGATCCCCCTCTTTCCAGA